ATTGGGGGGGGGGGGGGGGGGACCATTGGCTTCTATTTATAAGGGGAAGGAGCTTTTCCTTTGGCCGGTTTTAGGTCTTGTCAATCAACTGAGTTACAATGTCAAGCTTTGTAACGCCATGCTAGTGTTTTTGCCTTCGATGGGTCGCCAAGGTCGGTTGCCATCGAATCATCATGAACTTGGCCTATATATTATATTATCAGGTAATAATGAGTTGACATCGGGCAAGGGGTCCGCGCAGTTGATTGGTAGGTCATGGAGGTGTTGACGTCATACTCATCAGATGTTCCTAGTTGATTGGGGGGTCGACTGTCTTGATAGTATGGCAGATAATCTACAATCATGATGTTTCCTTGGGATTATGGCGGTATTCGATCTGAGCTGACCTTGATGATCCGTCTTGAGCTTTTACAAGAATTAGGGTGTACTATGAGGTCGTTTTGTTTAGGTTGGAGTTTGGAGTCCAATAGTTACCCCCAAGGTCAATGCTCACCTTTGTGATGGACTGACCTTGAATGTAGGCGGTGCCATCTGTAATATTTTATCTTTATTGTAGCAATAAAACGTTGGACAGGTGTCACCACTTGGTAGGGTGACTTGTCTGTTACCTCATTTAGCTTCTTCTAAAAGCTTCATGTCAATACTACTTAGTTTTGATTTATTGAATTGATCCTTCTATTTTCCCTCCGTTTTTTCATCTAACGGTGGACTTGGCACCTTTTGACATTCTTCTTCATTTAAATCTTTTCACATTCATTACTACACCTTTGGCTTCCAATTTTTCTTTGCAACGGGAGAGGAAAATCCCTTGAGCTTCCACCTTCTATTTGAGTGAAGCCGTTTATTCCCCAAGTACACTTTTTTCGAAATTTTTTACCTCTTTCTCATTTTCTCTATTTTTATCTCGATCAATTGTTTGAGTTCAGGTGAGTCTAGGGTACATTCCTTGGCTAGCTAGTAGGATGAGTTTCTTACCCCATCCCCTACTCACTCTCCCCAAACTAGTTCGGATGTATAGGAGATTCTTACGTCGATTCCTATTTTTATAGTAAACCTAAGTAATATAGTTCGATATGTAGAGATGGTGAAGTCCCCGTCCACCTTCTATTTGAGTGAAGCCGTTTATTCCCCAAGTACACTTTTTTCGATATTTTTTACCTCTTTCTCATTTTCTCTATTTTTATCTTGATCAATTGTTTGAGTTCAGGTGAGTCTAGGGTACATTCCTTGGCTAGCTAGTAGGATGAGTTTCTTACCCCATCCCCTACTCACTCTCCCCAAACTAGTTCGGACGTATAGGAGATTCTTACGTCGATTCCTATTTTTATAGTAAACCTAAGTAATATAGTTCGATATGTAGAGATGGTGAAGTCCCCGATGTCAATTAGGGATGAGGAAATAACCTCCCAATAGGGAAATGAAGATAATCCTTTAAGTGAGAAGTGGGAGGCCTCCTCCTTTAGGTCAGCAGTAATTGGGGATATGTTGGTGACTTGGAGAGCCAAGTACATCATTCCCAGCTCGGTTGAGATGGCCATTCCTAACTCCACTGATTGAGCTAACGACCCACCTGAGGGATGTATGACGATTAACTTGGCTATTTTAAGTGCGGGACTTCAATTGCCAATCCCTAGAGCCATTTGTAGGTTTTTATCTTCTTAGGGCATTGCTTCCACATAGCTCTACCCAATGGGTAGAGGACTTTGATTGCCACTTTGATCTTATAGCACAAGTTAGGCTACCCTGAGCTCATGGTAGATCAATTCAATTCATCGAATTTCTTCGAGGATGGGAAGGGCTCCGGTTGGTACTATGCCGGTGTTAGACCTAGGACTGGGAGGTCATTGGTGTTGGAGTATCCATCCTCAGTAAAAAAGTGGAAATAGGAGTCTTCTTTCTCTTTGGGAAATGGCAATTCTTGATGCACTGGTAAATTTATGAATTGTCGCCCTACATGACTTATATTATGTTTCGACCTTTCAATTTACAAGAAAGCTACCATTACTCTAGTGACTTCAAACAAGCGGACTTCATTTGAGCTTTCTCAAAAAATAGAGGTCTTGTAACACCATAATCTCTGAGTCGAGCTTGTTCGAGGCAGGTCTATTTCAATGTATTTTTGTTCCTCAACAATCCTTAGATTCAAGTAAGTTGAATACATCTTCTGCATGCCGTCACCTGTATAGATGTTTTATGTTCACGATTGGTTATAACTTCTTCGATTGTGTAATTTAGATCAGAAAGAAGAGATGTTGGGATACAAGGCATTGAAAGCTACTGAGGCAGCGAAGAAGGCCTAAAAGAGGAAAGATATGGCTGTTGAGGAGGTGCTGCCTGAGCTGATTAGGAGAAATCAATCTAAAGATCGTGTTAGATAGGAGTCAGCCCCCAAATCCCCCGTGCCACAAACCCTAGCATGGATTTTCCATCCCGAATGGTTCCACAGCTCCACCTCAAGGGCCTCATAGCTAGTTGTAGTTCTTCAAGGACTCAAATTCCATGTCCTGATCTCTAATGTCCCGATATGGACGCACTGATTGGAACACGTCCCAATGTATTCTTAGACTTCCTCCGAACTCTATTTCCTTCTAGTGGTATGACCTCTG